ATCTAAATGTCATCCACAAAAAATTGACATATTCAAATGTTTGATCATAAAGCTTTGTTATTTAGCTGCTAGAAAATATTTATTTTCAATTATTTTATTTCGTTTTTTTTTTAGATATATAAATGAAAATATTGGCGGAGTTTTTGCCTTGTAACTGCATATTTTGCAGTCAAACACACACGAACAAATGAAGCAAAAAATTGCATTGCTATTTTTCATATTTATAAATGTGAAAAAAACATTGCTGAAGTTTAAAAAAAATCGAAAATATTGCAAAAGAAATTAAAAGGAAATGGAATTGAATTGTCACAGCTGCAATTTTTCAACTGTCAAATCATAACATAAAACCAATTACTTTTAATGATTAATTACTTTGGGGAGCAAGCGAATGTTGAAAACCACAAAATGATTTTGATTACGAGAGCCGGGCTGCAGTCAACTTTGATTTGATTTATGATGCGCAGGGCAACCCTTCCGACACAGCAGCTGGCAGCGCCGGCACACGCGACGTATGCTTAACGAAATATGCTACATTTGATGCGGACTTGAGCCTGGCCCGACGACACGCGAATCACCTTAAAATTCATAAGTATGTCGACGCGAAGCCGCAGGCAAAACAGCAGCTGCATGCCATTAACTATATGAGAGGAGCCCAAGACATAATCCAAGGCGCGGCAACATGGCGTATGCGTAACGTGCTGGCGCCAAACTTTTCAGCGCTTCATTTTTAAAACATTTAACACACACAAACAAGCGCGTGTGTGTCACGACAACTTTTCTCACTTTAAGGCTGTGTGTGTGTGTTTTCTATTTTTACCCATTTTAGTTGTCATCAAGGCTGCGGATTATGTGAGTTTATGGTTCAAAATTATGCAAAAGCGAGGCAATGAAAATGCTGATGAGACGGGCTGTTGCTGATAATGTTTATGCTGATGGTAATGCCGCCGCAGAACACCAAAAACCAAATGGCATTCGAGGGTTGAGAGCCAGCAGCAACAACAGAAAAAAGGGTTAAGCGGAACTATATATGAAACGAAATATTTTAATCACATGCAAACACAGCCACAGCCACAGCCGCAGCCGCAGCCAGAGCTGTGCTTCGACTCAATTGACCAGCTGCAAGAGACACCTTCACGCCTTCATCAAACTCAGCCCCTTCCCTGCTTCACTGCCGCATGACGAATGAGTTGTTCAAGTTTCAAGCAATTTTAATAAATATATAAATTTTCGTGCAGGTGTGCACAGGTGTAAGCATGCAGAAAGTTAAACCATATAATATTTAAAAGTAATTTAATGTTCATCACATAGCCAACCTGTTGGCCAATCTATAATGTCCTTCCATATATATACTTAGAAACTGTCAACAATTTATGGCGCGCATTTTGCGCGCTAGTCCAAAACACATAAAATTTTGTTTTATGCTCAAGAGAGAAGAATGCGAGGCGCGTTAATTTATGGACCACATCGATGTGGCAAATTATGAGCTGCTCGCCGCGTCGCCTGCTTTGGGCAATGAATTAAAAATCGATTCGACAAATTTACGCACTTTATCTACACAACTTCAGCTGCAATTTGGCTCTGGCACTGAATTACTTTGCGGTTTACTGTAATTGACGATTGTTTATCGCACAAAGCGAAGCCTCATGCAAAGCGGAAGCGCCGACATGTGATATGCGACGCTATGGACATATATCTCCTTAGACTTATTGATTTTGCGGCTTGTTCCACTTGAGACATTGACGCAGGTGTCACTTGATTAAAGCTTAAAGGTTTTATATTGAGCTACTTTTCGTGCGACTTGCTAAATGCGTAAGAAAGTGTGAGCTAGCGTTGATTGATATTGGTATTGATTTTGATATTGATTTTGATATTGATTGAGTCCTTCACTTATAGTTACTATAAATTTCATAAGACGAGCTGCTTGTCAAATGGCTTTAATATTGAGAAGGCCAAAGCCTAACTGAAAGCCAACGTTAAAGACTTTAAATAGTAAAGCAGCTTTAGCTACGCTTAAAATAAATTAAGTTTTAAATTATAAAGCTCAACGGAAAATATCAAAATATTTTAATTTATATGTATATTTGATTTTAAATAAAATAAAATGTTTAAACAGTTAGCCACTGTCATCTAAAAGGGCCGAAGTAAATTAAATTTTTTTCGAATTTTTATAATTTAATTAAAGCTTTCGTATATTTTTTATATAATATTTTTATAATTTTTATTTTATTTTATTTATTACACTTTATGAGCATTTTGAGAGAATTTGCATATTTTTATAGAATTTGTTTGAAATGATTATGATTTTAATAAATTTCTTATCATATTGCATATTGTTAACAATATAAAAATGAAATATAAAATGTTATTAAAATGTTTTCATTTAAATAAATTTTAGGAAAATATGCTTTACTCTATTTAATAAATTTAATTATTTAATATCAAAACTTTTTAGTTTTGGTTATAAAATCGTTGTTGAATATTCAATTATTTTTATTATTACAATGGAGTCAACAAAAGTTTCAGGCTAAAGAATTTTAAATATATATTTTATTTTATATATAAACATATTATTAAACTAAATAAATTAAAGTCCTTAATACGTAAATGATTTCTAGTTAAAGGAAGAACAATTCAAATGAAAAAGAAAATCTTAAAATCATTTAATAGCAACAAAAAGAAACTATGAAATCATTTATATTTTAGTTTAACAATTAATTTTATGACAATAGATATTTATATTTCCAAAATTGCAATTGTTTTATGATATATAATTTTATATTTAAAGGCTTACTGCTCATATTTTAATATATTTAAAGGCCTTCTAAGCCAATACATTCTCATTTCCATTTTTATTTGACATACATGGAAAATTTAAAAAAAAAATTGTTTTCATTTTTTATAAATATATATTTATGCATTTGGGTTATTCGAAACTTACCCAATGTGCAACGGCATGTAAATCGAAAAATTACAAAAAATGTCAGTTTACATCACGCCTCCTGCGGCAGGCGCTTGTTAATCATGGCACACACGCGCACACACACAGACACACGTACACTAATCTAGTTGGCTGTTGTTGCAAAAATATTCAAATGAGTTGCGGGGCTGCCAATAAATGAGAAATGTGTTTGCCAATGGGCTCGCAGGTTCACGACAGCAGAAACTTCAACAACTGCAGTTAAAACACAAACTATGCACAGCTTAAGCCAAAATGCTTAATTCACTTCAAGTTCTTAAAGGCGAACTGTTTTGAGGCTTGAGTATTTGACAGGCTTAAAAATATCGCGAAAACGTGAACTTCACAAATGAGCCGATGCGAACGATCTAACGAACGACGTCCGCACAGCGCGAGTGTTAAACGAATACTGACTCCGAGATCGAATGCAATGAAAGTTAAGAACGGTCACGCAAACTCAAGCAAGCTCGAACACGTTGCAAGCAGACAAGTTCGCACAGCAGCGACTCGAGCCTTGCCGAGCCGAGCCGTAACGAACCAAGCCGAGCCCAACCGAGCTGATTTCGTGTATTCTATGTTTTTTTCTGCTTCGGCTAACGCTGCTTATGATCATTGGCTTCATTTGCCAGTGTGAATGGATATGGATAGTTTTTCAGCGGCATTTAATTACAGTTAAACAGAACACTAACCCATCTCTTGATGTGTCATGGCCCAACTGCAGCGCACCAAATTTTTGGCTACAACTACAGCATTCGTGCGTGTTGCGGCTGGATGAGCTGGGTGCAAAGTAGCTTGAGGGTTGAAAAAGTTTAAGAGGAAAATTATATAAATTATGATTTGAAAATGAATAAATAAAATGTATACAATATACATAATATATACAAAATACTTAATGCATAAGCTACATTAAATATTTGCATGCTGATCTATAGTCTAACGAGAGAATTTAAATTGAATTTATATTCAATAATAAAATATATTTTATGAAAAAAAAAATAATGTTACATAAAAATTCAAGGCTACTTAAAATATTGCTTGAACTGGCAGAAAACCATTAAAAACAAATTTTAGTTGAATTTTTAATATTAACACATTTCTCTATATTTATTTCTTTCTTTATATTTAGCTTAAGGTTAGAAATATAAAATGCATCTTATAAATTTATTAGTAAGAATTATTAAATATTGATGTAATTTAAGTTATGTTAAATAAATTATAGCATTGTTACATATATTTTATACATATAATCAATCCTTAGTTTTGTGTCTAACTTTACCATGAACTGTGGAATTTACAGCTAACTCCGAGCGCTGGTTACCTCCAAAGTATAGCTATATTTTGTTGTATTTAATGTTAGCCTGCTTTAAATAATACAAATATATAACAGTGGCTGCTAAAAGTAAGACATTTGAAGGCAACTCTTGGCTGCCGACAAACAAAGCACGCGAAGCAATGAAAATTCCGACCTGCCGCAATAAATTCCGCGCGCGTATGCCAAAATGAGAGTGAAATATCCTGCACACACACACAGAGACACCTAAAGGACTAACTTAAAGAGCAGCAGCAGAAATATCCACAGTGTGTGTGTGTGTGTGTGTGTGCGCGCCATAAATCGCGCTAAGCCAAAACAAAACATAGCTGGCCAAGTCCCAGAGAACAGCATCATGCATCAGGCATCAGGCAGGTGGATGCCACAGCCTTTGACCTGACACAATGCTCTACATTCGATGTTTTTTTTCTAACCTCCCCTACAGCAACCCAGCTTGGTTCGAGACGCGACTGCGCAGTGGCACATCGAACCGAACAGCTGTTGACTAGCGCAAGTCCTTACCTACGACAACATAACTAAGGCTAGCTTCTTGCAGCATCCATTGCTCAGTTAAATTTTACTTTATTTTACTTTCATCAATTTTTAGAATATCTGAGGTCTAATATCCAAACATATCTTCAGCCATGTATTCTAGCTATCGTCATGTGGAGCCTAAAACGGGAATAAATATTAAATCATAGCTTGATAGCCGCTAGACCGGAGCTTACTTCATACTTAAGTCTACCAGCCGCAAGGGCAGGATGTGCAACCCGGACTTCCGCAGGGTCCACATGGGCCACAGCAAGAACCACAGGACGGACCACAGCAAGAACCACAAGACGGGCCACAGCAGGAACCACCGCACCTGCCGGCTGGAACGAGGCAGCCAGGCGGGCATGGCCCAACATAGAAGGGATCAAACTTACAGACGATAAGCATTTTTCTTGTAGATCCAACTTTAACTTAAACAAGTCGTCGTTCCTGACTATTTTGATATACTTGCTGCAGGTGCACACAGTTACATTAATAAATATAAACAAAATGTTAGAAACGCGCTTACTGAAGTACTTTCTGTAAGCCGAAGATATGTATCTACTAACTCCTCAGCCCTAGCTCTGTTCTAGGGTAAACTACCTAATCGAAAATTTATAAAATACTGAAGATTTTTGAGTTAGATCGAAATAGGTAATCCACTGAGCTAGACGAAGCCTACTAATTTATGTATCTAAAGTCTCAACTGTGCTTTAATGCTGTGAAGCTGTATGCATATGGCATTACGATTTTTTCTTTATTGCCAATTCAAACATCTGCAGATCCTCAGTTTTCTATAGGAAATAAATTCTTCTATCATTTAAGCATTTACATAGATATTTTATAAGTCTATTTGTATCTCTCAGAAGCTGTAAAAACTGTTTTAAGTTTAAGCGACAGGCAGCTCCGATACACAATGATGCCAGAGACTACTTCAAGTCAGTCTTAACTCGAAGCACCAGTACATAAGGTTGGCCAGATTTAACGTTGAATGGACCGATTTTGCAAGCTATATCGTTGTTGATAAGTTTTTGCTGTTTTCAGCAACAAGTTCTTACAGGAAAAACATGAAGACTTTTGTCAAGTTGTAAACGGATAGCATTTTTTATTTATCTTTTACTATATTTTATTAAGCCTTGAGATAAGGTACAAGTATAAGTATAGGTACAGGTACAAGCATAGGTACAGGCATAAGAACAAGCATAGGTACAGGCATAGGTACAAGCAAAGGTACAAGTATCAGTATAGGTACAGGTACAAGCGTAGGTACAAGCATAGGTACAGGCATAAGAACAAGCCTAGGTACAGGCATAAGAACAAGCATAGGTACAGGCATAGGTACAAGCATAGGTACAAGTATAAGTATAGGTACAGGTACAAGCGTAGGTACAAGCATAGGTACAGGCATAAGAACAAGCATAGGTACAGTCATAGGTACAAGCATAGGTACAAGCAAGGTACAAGCATAGGTACAAGCAAGGTACAAGCATAGGTACAAGCATAGGTACAAGCATAGGTACAGGCATAGGTACAAGAATAGGTACAGACATAAGAACAAGCATAGGTACAAGCAATGTACACCCATTGGTACAAGCGTATGTACAAGTATAGCTACAAGTATAGCCACAAGTATAGGCTCAAGTATGTTTATTTATATGTACAAGTACAAATATAGGTACAAGCGCAGGTGCAGATAAAGGCAAAAGTATACAAACAGATATAGGTACAGGTACACGTAAAGGTACAAGTATATGTAAATTATGAGTACAGCCACCTCACACTACTGTACGAGTCTAAAAATAAAATTCAGCTCTCACAAATAAAACAATCACAAAATAATTTTAGTATACTTTTAATACTGAGAATTTGAAGTGAACATGAGGCAGATGTTAATTATAGACACACATATCTTCAGCGTTGTCCTCACCAAAGTCGGCATTAAAATGAAAAACTGAGCTGGGCAAATCGATATCCATAGCAGCAGCAGGTTAGTCAAATGATCTCACTATACTGATTGCTTAGCAACCACCGCAGCACCCGCCGCCGCAATTACGACAGCTGGCACAGCCGCCTGCAGGCACGAGGCAGCCGGGCGGGCAAGGTCCAACATAGAAGGGATCGAATTTGCAAACGATATACATATTTAAATTTTAAATGTGCAACCGTCAAATTTCCACTCGAGAGCTGCAAAAGGCACAAAAATTAATAAATAAAAATATTAAAATAAATTAATTTATACTCACTTAATATAACTTTCTATGCGGCTAAAAATATATGTGAATATTACCCGAAAAGGAAATGAATTTTCTTATTTATATTTTAATTCATTCCTTATGTTCACAAACCGAATAATTGAACGAGAATGAGCCTAACTACACAACTGAGCACGTAGCTGAGAAAGCAAATCCAGCTTCGATTGCTTAGATTCCCAAAAAAAGAAGCTAAATTTGCTTCGCTCGATATATGTATATATATATATTTATTTTGATATATATATATATATACCTATATTGGAGCCAATTCATACTCTGCGTTTGTCCTTGTTATCCCAGTTGAAGTCGCAGTTAGGTTGTGTATTGGACACAGTTCCTGAAGACAGAGCATAAAAGTTCTTAAGTGTGCAGTCTGTTTACTTATTGCCTGACTTCACTCTTCTTGCATGCCGATAGACTGCCATGGCTAACTATTTAACACTGCCGCAGGCAAACATTTCAACTATATCATACAGACAATGACCACTATTCTTAACAACACCACATGCCTGATGGATCTGATCAAACTGCATTGTCGCCGCGCCGTCTTTGATCAACTTACTGATCCGGGGCGTGGCATTCACGACCACCCGCGTCGTCACCTGTGTCAGTAAGACAAACAATGCAATCACACCCATCGCCCCAATACATCTGTGCGCAAAATCCATTGCAGGACCTTATTTTTATCCTTTATTATCTTTGGTCTATACCGAAACATTGCCTAAAACTAAATATTTGATCAACCAATCCAAAATATCGAACAATTTTTGATAACCAAGTCAAGGCGCCGGCGTTTTTGGTTCTGGTTCTGGTTCTGTTACTAATTTTTCCTCTTCTACTTCTGTTTCCGGTTCTGCTTCTGGTTCTGGTTTTGGTTATGGTTCTGATTCTGGTTGTGGTTCTGGCTCTGTTACGGTTTCTGTTACGCCAAAGTGCGACATCACTTCAAAAAATTTGCCAATCAGATAATAGAGCTTCAGCCAAATCTGCATCAAGGTATCGTTCATAGACTCCGCATCCATTGTAGGTTCCGATTCAATTTGAGTTCGCGATAGCGAGTCATGAATCCCTAAGGGACTGCGCATGGACTCCATCTTATGGCTTATTGCGCCCTTTCACTATGCTCCGATCACAATTTTTTGTACTGACTACAGGTAAACTCGGACTCGGCACATTTCGACTCGATGAAAATTTAGACAATATATTCCGAAACATAAAATTACCTTGCTTAAAAAACTAAGAACGATATGAAGCAGAGAACGCCGCCTACTTCCCTTCGATCAAAATAACATTTCTACCAAGCATAGCCAAAAAAAAACCTTTCTCATATGAATCAAAACAAACTCGCAATTATGGTACTGAACGTCTTCTGCTTTATTGTATGTGATTAAATTTGTAATTTGCCAGTCAAAAAATTATTTTGCGTTAGATTCGGATTGTGTTGGAAGGCAGCATCTTTGCCTTTCTTCAGCCATTCCTTTACAGCGATCGGGCCAACCGCATGGGACGAAACCCGAGAAAATACCATACGGACACGATTCACATGATTTATCAGGGTATGGGCCAACGTAAAACGGATTCATACTTTCCCCCTTGCTGCACACTTTACGGGTCATTTTGTCCGAACTGTTTGAAGTGCCAATAATTTCTGAGGTTTTCGGTTAGTTAGAGATGAAGGAGAATGTTAATATAAATTTTTTACATATTTTACTTTATGTAATTTAATTTTATAATTTTTTAATTATTGGTTAATATTTTTTTAAACTCTTATTTTTTGAATTTTTTAAAAATTTCTTTAAATATATAATATATAGTATCCATTTTAAATTTTTTTTTAAATATTAAAGAACTTTTTAAAATTTTTAAAATGTTTGTTTTAATTTTTAAATCTTTTAAAGTTCTTTAAATTTTTCTTAATTTGTTATATATATTTTTCTACTTACTTTGCCGGCAAATTCGGCCTAAAATAAAAGCTGTTCAGTTAAAAGCTACATTGGTAATGAGCTGAGTTTGTGTTTTCTCCTACTCCAAAATCTCCGATCAGATGCAAAGCCAACTTGATGCTTTACTTAATTTTGAAAAGTGCTTAGATTTCTATTTGTTACTTGAATTTAACTCTGGTTCAGTTTTGCAATCGTTTGGAGCTTCATAATCTTTTTTCGGAGGCATTTGGGTCTTCTCAGCCGCTGGGGAACAACCGCCACAAGGTGTCGTCGATCCTGTGCATGGCCCGCATGTGGCATTCGGGCAATCGCTCTCAGAGGTGCATTCCGTGTCACAGCAGGGCGGGCAGGGTCCAATATAACCAGGATTGAACATAATAACCATTGTGGCGGTGTTCCCTTAATGCTTCCCTTGCAATAGATTAAAATCTTTTACATGTAAATGCAGCTGAGACTTACCTTCAGAGATTATTGAAGTAGGTTGGTGTTATTGTTGTGTGTAAGTTGTGTGTATGTGTTCCGTGTTGTGAAGGTGGAGTGAATAGTTTTCCATTCACTTGACATGCCTGAAAGTGTGCTTAAATGACAACATACTCATGGCATGCCAAAGTCGGCTTTTAATAGCTGCACTGCAGACACATTGACCCAATCACAATAGCTTTGCTTCTGGGACCCTAGCTATCCCTCCCTCTTGCTCTCTCTCTCTCTCTCTCTCTGCCCCCTTTGCGGATGCAAGCACAATGCGTATAATTATTTCATAATCGGGCAACACTTCATTTATGGTGACAAAAGCCTGCAGATGTGCAAAGCCACTCCCCGACGGCAGATACTGGACAGCCAATAAATGGCATAAACCATTAAAATGTTTAAGTCGCTACTTTATATACCCTGTAAATACATGGAAAGTATTAGAACTATGATCTGGTTTGATGTACTACACAGTTTCTGTGGAAGCTTAAATTAAAAAAAAGAAAAAAACAATGTTAAAAAAATATTACAAATATATATATATTTGAATTATTTAATATTTTAAAATATATATTAATATTTTCATATATCCGCTGACTGAATAGAGCAAAAATGAGAGGCTTAAATTTGTTATATTTTTAATATTTTTAATAATTATATTTTTTTATATTTTTAGTAATTATTAATAATTTTAAATATTTTTAAATAATTTCAAGCAAAAAATACAGTATTTAAATATATCCTTAAGTATATTTATTTTTAAATACACATTAACAAAATAGAAAAAATGAAAATAATTTTTATTCGTCACAAATAAAATTAAAAACAGTAAAAAAAATATTTGTATATTTGAAATTATTAATGTGAAATATCAAATAAAAAAAAAATGTAATGTTTTTACTAGTATCAAAAATATTTAAAAATATATTAACATCTTTATTTAATGTATGTATTATATGTACTTAACATTTTTTATAAATAAATAGCCCCTGATCTGCCTATACTAATCATTAGAACCATTTTTAAATCCCATTGTAAATTCATATACTAGTTGCTGAATTGAATTGATCTGCTTTATACATTGTTATTACTTTTAAAAAATATTAAAAAATATATATAATTATTTACTATTTTTTTTAGCAAGTGCTCTTAAAATATTAAATTTATTTAAAATAAAAAAATTAAACAGAACTCAGTTTTTGCCAACCAACCAGCAAGACTTAAGCTTACTTATATCAGCTTTTCTTTTTATGTACCCAGCTCACAATACGTTCCATACTCTACAGCTTATACCCTACCCACAAAAAAACACACCTATAGCTCATCGTATCGTCTAGAGTATAAATACAGAGCTAAGCTCTATATAGACTCTGAATCAAAATATGCCCCATGCCTGTGTTATCTATAGGGCATGGCAATGGCAACAACACGCATACTGTAAATTTTAAGTTGAAATTAATGAATAATTAAGCTGCATTGGGGACCCATTCGAACTGTTGTTCGAAAGCGGAAATGCAACATTTGCATAACTAACACAATGAACTACATACGCAACGCTGTTGCATGAATATGCTTTTGGCCCCTCATCTAGACATGCCATCAAATGCATCTATATATACACAATATAGTGTGGCATTAGATATGCAAATTTCAATACTTTCATAAGCATAATTGGTGTATAACGGCAATTGCTTTTGTCAATTAATCAATCAATCAGGTCAGCCAAGGGCTCACAATGCCAATAAAGAACGCTCCAGTATGCGTTGCGGAAACAACTTGTCGCCGAGTGTTGGGCTGCTTACAGAAGTGCACCTTGTTGCATGTTAATCATGTCATCAACATTTTCGATCACTCGCAAAGTTCAAAACAAAACAACAAAACCAACATACATCAAACGTTAACCAGCGTTAACTATACATCAAACGTCATCGCGTCAAAGTCGTGTGCGTTCTCTGTGTAATTCATATTCAAAGCGCGTTGCGGCACAGCGCGCTGCGTCTACCACGGCTGGTGCGGGGCACTTTAGCGTAGGCGTCTAGCTGCTCCCCGCTGCCTGCCCCGCCTTCCACTTTGTGCAACCGGGCGCACTGCTTTTAAGTGGCGGCCACTGGGCAGCGTGTGCCCCATTGCGCGGCACGTTGTGGGGCGCAGCTCACAGCTCGGCTTACTTTGTTTATGCGTGTATATGAGTGTTAGTGTAAGAGTGTCTGTTGGTGTGGGTGTTGGTGTGTGGTTGCGTGTGTCTGCTTTGTCGATTGCTCGCTGCGGCAGGCGTGGCAATGGTGATCCGCTGTGGTGCTTTGTCTTTTTAGCGCGCTTAGCAAATCCACACACACGGAGAGAAATCAGCGCAAAGTATAGACTAGACTGAATACAAACAATATATTTATTATTATTATTAATATTTCATATTATTCAACTACTTTAAACATTTTCTTTTTCACATTAAAAACAATAAAAAAAAATATGCAAAATGGAATATGATCAAAACAGTTTTAATCATTTCTTAAGACTCATTTTTGAATAAATTTTTAAATTATATTTGACATTGCCTAATTTTTCAAAAATTTGAAAAAATATGTGTAGTAATAGTAGAAATTTAATAATAAGTATTATATTATAATTTAACTTATATTTCTATTTTATTTTGTCTTTATTTTCGACAGTCAAGTGTTCTTTTTATGTACGTGTAGATCGAAGATATTAACTAGTTATAATTAATATAAATGCTTATACTAATAATAATAAGTTTAAATTATCTGCATAAGAAATTTCATGTTAGATTACTCAGTGTAAAATATATTTCCAACTATTTTAATAACTTTAATATAGTCAGCTCACTCTACTATATTTTAATATATTCATATCGATTGGCATTAAAAAATGATTTAATTTTTTTTTATAAAAAAATAAAAATGATAACAGTTTATAAAATGCGAAACTATAAAATGTTGTGGCTCCGTTAAATCATTAAATTTATCTTCGCCAATCATAGAAACTCAAACTCGCATGGCTCTTTTCCTTTAAGGAATCATATTACCTTTTGCCATTCGATTATATATATAATATATGCAATTAACTAATACTACATTAGCTATACATAAATATAAACATGTAATTAAAGCTACTCTTGGCGACAGCATAAATAAGCTCGAAAAGAAATGATAAAAAGAAGCAAGAAACCAATCGACTTCGTCTATGGCACATCCGTTTGTAGGTCTCATGGCAAGCCGAGTGAGTGTCTTGCTATCTCTTTACTTTGCTTGTTTTTCAATAATTTCAGCTCTTGTTATAGTGTTGTTCGTATAGTTCCTGGGTGCAATGGTCTGGCCACGCGCAGCGGCCACTTGTCTGGTCGTAACTGTTTGAAATATGTTGTGGAGAAATGACAAAGTGACCGGAAGATGATACTGTAATAAAACAAACACACACACACACACACACACATATACACATAGTTAACTCGTGGGGCGGCCCATGTTCATGTTTGTCTAGGAAATAGTCGAGGCGCAGCTATGGCCATACAGAAAGCGAACATTGGGACAACTGGACAATGTTTTATATGCTGTGCGCTGTGCGTTTTCTATTTGCGTTTCTTTTCATTACTATTTTTTTTTCTATTTTTTAACCATTTATTTACAAATGAACAATATTTATGGCCTCTTTCTGCACGCTAACTACGTTTCGAAGAGTTCTAAGCTGGCTGCTTCCGTTCTGGTATATGGCAACTATTTCTTTCTCTCTCTTTCTGATTCATAATTTTGTGGTTTTATTTTAGGCATATGAAAATCGGGTTCTGTTTGGCCTCGAATATTTAAAGAATCAAACAATAAATTTGATTTTCTTTCGATTCAATCTTAATAAAATTTATGATAATTTGCCAGCGATTATGTGTTGCCAATAAATAAGATATAAAAGCTTATTATGCATAGTGCGTCGGTATAAGAACTGAGGTGCGATTACTAAAATAACAATTTTATGGACAACTTGAGTTTATAAATCTTCTCTAAAGCGATAAAGATCTCATATTTATGTGCTGGAAGTTTCATAGTTTGAATTATGCTTTCTATAAACAGGCAAGCTGAGCTGAAAATTAAATTTGAATTCATAATTTCTTATGAATTAATTGCTTTCGAACTACGTATGTATGTATCTGTATCTATATATGTATCTGTATATATATCTATCTTTTTCTATATCTTTTTCTATATCTATATCTATATCTATATCTATATCTATATCTATATCTATATCTATATCTATATCTATATCTATATCTATATCTATATCTATATCTATATCTATATCTATATCTATATCTATATCTATATCTATATCTATATCTATATCTATATCTATATCTATATCTATATCTATATCTATATCTATATCTATATCTATATCTATATCTATATCTATATCTATATCTATATCTATATCTATATCTATATCTATATCTACATCTATATCTATATCTATATCTATATCATTGCCAACTTATAAGATGTCGTTTCATTCAAGGCTTTTGCGACGTCGAAACCCAGTTGCAGCCTGGCAGCAGCTCAACTATTTGAGAACTCGACCATAATTAGAGTTGCCATGGGAACAATTTATTACGACCATCAAACTGGGAGCACTAAATGCCGGCACTTAACCGATCATAACTTTGGCCATGATAAATCGAAC